AGGCGCCGGGCGCTCTCGGTCTTGGGGCACCCGGACCCGACGGTGCCGCCCAGCGGCCTGAACTGCTCGGGCTGCGGGGCCGAGCTGCACTGCCAGGACTCCGGCGTGCCGGGCTACCTGCCCAGCGAGAAGTTCCTCCGCGCCTCGCAGGACGGCGAGCTGGCGCGGACCGTGTGCCTGCGCTGCTGGCTGCTGGTGCACCACCGGCGCGCGCTGCGCCTGCAGGTGAGCCGCGAGCAGTACCTGCAGCTGGTGAGCGCCGCGCTGCGGCGACCCGGGCGGGCGCTGGTGCTCTACATGGTGGACCTGCTGGACTTGCCTGACGCCCTGCTGCCCGACCTCCCGGCGCTGGTGGGCCCCAAGCAGCTCATCGTGCTGGGCAACAAAGTGGACCTGCTGCCCCAGGACGCTCCCGGCTACCGCCAGCGTCTCCGGGAGCGACTGTGGAACGACTGTGCCCGCGCCGGGCTTCTCCTGGCCCCTGGCCACCAAGGGCCACAGCTCTCCAGTGGGGAGGGACCAGGCGACACTGAGGGGAACTCGAATTCGTCGGTCAAGTCCCGCACGGTGGTCAGGGACGTGCGGTTGATCAGCGCGAAGACAGGCTATGGGATTGAAGAATTGATCTCCTCGCTTCAGCGCTCCTGGCGCTACCGCGGCGACGTCTACCTGGTGGGAGCCACCAACGCTGGCAAGTCCACTCTCTTCAACACGCTCCTGGAGTCCGATTACTGCACCGCCAAGGGCGCCGAGGCCATCGATAGGGCCACCATTTCCCCTTGGCCAGGTGAGTGTCTTGAGCTCTCCTCCTTGGTTTCTTAACGCTTTCCCTTGACAGATTCTGCCCATGCGGGGCAAGCAGGTGGCGTGTGGGCCACGGTTCGAGTCCTAGTCCTGGTGGCTTGCTTTCTCTCTTTCTCACTGTCTTTGATCAAATTAAAGAAATAATAATAAGTGGAATTTAATAAGTAAAATAATTCTTTTTAAAAATTCTGTCCATACTTTGGTCACACCTCCCCTGTCAACTTAGTGCTTCCAAATTTTCTGATAGAACTACTGGTGGAGCAATCCCACGTTCCAGTCGCTACCACTGGGGATACTCCGGGGAGCAGAGCAAAGTCCCTATTCTTTGAGATCTCCCGGGTGCCTTACTGCTTCTCTGTACGTTTTCCTGGAAAGTCACGCTTCAACCCTCCATCTTACTCGTCCCGTCTTGGGTTTATTCATGAGACTGGTATATACAGACACCTATTACATTAGAATAATTCACGCAATATGATATGTGGCTTCGTTGAGAAGAACTATCAACTTGTGACTTTACCAAACTTCTGTATTTGGAAAATGGGTCCTTGTAGGACCCTGTTTGCATTTAAGTTAACAAAACTAGTGCCCCAGGTGTTCTGATTGTTCCCTTGCAGCCAGAGTTTAGTTTCGTTTGGTAAACTGTTCTCTGTCTTGCACTTTGGTTGAATTATACACCAACTGATTTTAGAGTGGGAAGAAATGAGTTCTGTAGATTTTAGATTCAAATCTTACTGTAGCTTAAGAACCAATCTCTGAGCCCGTTTCCTCATTTCTAATGGGGAATGCATGTACAGAGTTGCCGCAGAAGTTCAATGAGATAGATCAGTATCAATCATGGAAGATGTTCTTTTTGAGACCAGGGGTGGGGGGGGTGGGGGGGAGGCCGCTCCATGGTGTAGTGGTAAAGCACCCATCCTGCCTGGTAACCAAGTTCTGATCCCCTGCCTGGTAGGCTTGAAACACTGAGGCATGTGCCCAAGTGCCCAGATCCTGCAGGAGAGGGTGGCAGGTCCTGTAGACAGTGCTCCTTTCTCCAGTATGTGTGCACACTCTTATCATGAATAAGCAAAATTTGTTTTTGTTTTGAGAGATTTTTTGCTATAGGACACTTCCACTCACCAGAGAGCTGGAAAGTGAGACATCACCCCCCGCAAGGATGGCACTGAGGCATGTGCCCAAGTGCCCAGATCCTGCAGGAGAGGGTGGCAGGTCCTGTAGACAGTGCTCCTTTCTCCAGTATGTGTGCACACTCTTATCATGAATAAGCAAAATTTGTTTTTGTTTTGAGAGATTTTTTGCTATAGGACACTTCCACTCACCAGAGAGCTGGAAAGTGAGACATCACCCCCCGCAAGGATGGCACACCGCAGTCCCTTCTCCTCCGCTCTCCTCTGGAGATTTTGGACACACACACCGGGTTTTGGGAGTGCCTGATAGGAGTTTTAAGTCACCCGGTCTGGGACTTGAACCACACTTGACTGTGTGGGAGTCCAGCCACAAAACCGTTATGTCATCCACTGGTCACAAGAAAAAGTTTTTTCTTTTTATTTTTTAAGAATTATTTTATTTAACTTTATTTGTTTTTAATTTTGACCAGAAAGAAATGGAAAGAGAGAGAGAGAGAAGGAAAGTGAGAAAGCAAGCCGCCAGGTCTGGGATTTGAACTATGGTAGGCCATGTGGGAATCCAGCGCCCTTAATCACCATGGCATCTGCCATCCCGTTCGTTTTGTTGTTGTTGTTGTTGTTGTTTTTAAGAGAGATTTTTGCTATAGAGCATGTGTGCTAGCCAGAGAAACAGAGTCAGAAAACAAGAGTCAGAAATTCCCCAGGGGGAATGGCCACACTGCAGTCCTTTCTCCTCCATTCTCCTCTCAAGATTTTGAGCATTCACGCACAGGCGCCCAGCACGAGTTTTAAGCCGCTGGGTCTGAGACTCGAACTGTGGTTGACTACATGAGAGTCCAGCAACGTAACCACTACACTATCTGCTGGCCCCAGAAAGTTTTTTTAGTGCTCACTTTTCTACCCTTTTCCCTCATGTCCTCCCTTCAATCTGTTTTCTAAACACATATGTATTCTTTGGTATTTCAGGTACTACGTTAAACCTTCTGAAGTTTCCTATTTGTAACCCAACTCCTTACAGAATGTTTGAAAGGCAAAAAAGACTTAAAAAAGATGCAACTACAGCCGAAGAAGACCTTAGTGAACAGGAACAAAATCAGCTTCGTTTCATGAAAAAGCACGGTTACGTAGTAGGTAAGCATCCTCCACAGAACCCCTTGCGGATTCCAGTCCAGAATTTTCGGCTGAGCAGCCCGAAGTACAGCTGTCGGGCTAGCCAGATTTGCGGGGAGACACCGCCTTCCTCATCCTGGAAGATAAGACCCTTGAGAGGCAAGACTACTGCTCAAAGCCAGACCAGTACTGGTAGTAGTGGACGCCATCCAGTCCCCATCTCATTCTCATCTCCTTTCAGCCTTCCTCTACTAAAATGTTTGATTTGGGGCCAGGTGGTGGCATGGTGGTTAAGGCAGCTGGTTCCCACATGGTTGACTATGCAGTTCGAGTCCCGGACCTGGCAGCACATGCTCTCCAAAACCCTAAGAAGAGAATGAAGGAGAGCGGGCTGCGACATAGCCATCTCCCGGGGGTGGGGGGCTGATTTCTCACTTTCTCTCTCTCTCTCTGTCTCTGAGTCTGCCTCTTTCCAACAAATACATGGCAAAGTTTTTAAAAAATGATTGAGGGACCAGCAATTGGCGTAATGGCTATGTCGCTGGACTCCCATGTAGTGGACCACAGTTTGAGTCCAGACCCGGAGGCTTAATCACACCAGGCGCGTGTGCGTGCATGCCCGGGATCCCAAGAGGAGAATGGAGGAGAAGGGATTGTGGTGTGGCCATCCCCCTTGGGAGGTGATTTCTCGCTTTCTCTCTCTCTCTGGAGAGCTCACATGCTCTATAGCAAAAAACTCCAAAAAAAGGAATTGATTCCCAGGCTCCCCCCCAACACCCACTACACTATCTGCTGGCCCCAGAAAGTTTTTTTAGTGCTCACTTTTCTACCCTTTTCCCTCATGTCCTCCCTTCAATCTGTTTTCTAAACACATATGTATTCTTTGGTATTTCAGGTACTACGTTAAACCTTCTGAAGTTTCCTATTTGTAACCCAACTCCTTACAGAATGTTTGAAAGGCAAAAAAGACTTAAAAAAGATGCAACTACAGCCGAAGAAGACCTTAGTGAACAGGAACAAAATCAGCTTCGTTTCATGAAAAAGCACGGTTACGTAGTAGGTAAGCATCCTCCACAGAACCCCTTGCGGATTCCAGTCCAGAATTTTCGGCTGAGCAGCCCGAAGTACAGCTGTCGGGCTAGCCAGATTTGCGGGGAGACACCGCCTTCCTCATCCTGGAAGATAAGACCCTTGAGAGGCAAGACTACTGCTCAAAGCCAGACCAGTACTGGTAGTAGTGGACGCCATCCAGTCCCCATCTCATTCTCATCTCCTTTCAGCCTTCCTCTACTAAAATGTTTGATTTGGGGCCAGGTGGTGGCATGGTGGTTAAGGCAGCTGGTTCCCACATGGTTGACTATGCAGTTCGAGTCCCGGACCTGGCAGCACATGCTCTCCAAAACCCTAAGAAGAGAATGAAGGAGAGCGGGCTGCGACATAGCCATCTCCCGGGGGTGGGGGGCTGATTTCTCACTTTCTCTCTCTCTCTCTGTCTCTGAGTCTGCCTCTTTCCAACAAATACATGGCAAAGTTTTTAAAAAATGATTGAGGGACCAGCAATTGGCGTAATGGCTATGTCGCTGGACTCCCATGTAGTGGACCACAGTTTGAGTCCAGACCCGGAGGCTTAATCACACCAGGCGCGTGTGCGTGCATGCCCGGGATCCCAAGAGGAGAATGGAGGAGAAGGGATTGTGGTGTGGCCATCCCCCTTGGGAGGTGATTTCTCGCTTTCTCTCTCTCTCTGGAGAGCTCACATGCTCTATAGCAAAAAACTCCAAAAAAAGGAATTGATTCCCAGGCTCCCCCCCAACACACACACACACACACACACATGCACACACAGTGTTCTTAGCCAGCTACACGCCCGTCGTCGCAGGAATCTGACAGGCACTGTCTTTGCGGGAAAGCTGAAGTATCTCCATGATCTCATTCCCATGCACTGTGGTTATAGTAACTCGTTTGAGGCAAACGTCATGATTATCTAGAGACCAAAGTGGTAAAGGAGTGACTAATGACCTCAATGTGCTTTGTTCTAGGAAGGGTTGGAAGAACTTTCTGGTATACAGAAGAACAGAAGGACGAAAGTGCCTTTGTGTTTGATGCCGATTCACTAGCTTTTGACATGGAAAATGAGCCTGTTACAGATGTCCCCAAGCCCACCACCAAACGAGTAGAACTGACTCCACACGATGTGAAAGATGCCCACTGGTTTTATGACACCCCTGGAATTACAAAAGAAAACTGTGTACGTATTTCCTTTCTTTTTCAAAACATTTACTTTAGGGGCCAGCAAGTGGTATAGTGGTTAAGGCAATGGACTCCTTCATGGCCGACCACAGTTCAAGTCCCAGACCTGGTGGCTTGCTTTCTCACTTTCCCTCTACCTCTCTCTGTGTGACTCTGGGAAAAAAAAAATAATAATAATAATAACAAAACATTTACTTTGCAGTTCCTGCAGGTGGCGTGGTGGTTAAGGTGCTAGACTTCCACGTGGCTGACTGAGGTCTAAGTCCCAGATCCTATGGCTTACTTTCTCACTTTCTCTCTCTGTCTTGCTCTGAACAAACTGAAAAATAATAATAATGATAAATTAAATTAAAATATTCTTGTTTTAAAAAGTTTACTTTGCGGGACCAGCAGTTGGCGTAATGGCTATGTCGCTGGACTCCCATGTTGTCGACCACAGTTCGAGTCCTGGACCCGGTGTCTTAAACTCACACTGGGCACGTGTGCGTGCGTGCCCAAGATCCCAAGAGAATGGAGGAGAAGGGATTGCAGCGTGGCCATCCCCCCTGGGGGGGTGAATTCTCGCTTTCTGTCTCCCTATTTCTCTCTTTCTGGCGAGCACACACACCCTAAAGCAAACACCTCTCCAAAAGAAAAAAAGAATTATTTATTTAACTTAATTTTTTTATTTATTTTAAGTTGACTAGAGAGGAACAGAGTGAGAGAAAGAGAGAGAAAGTGAGAAAGGAAGCCACCAGGTCCAGGACTCGAACCGCAGTCACCTATGTGGGAGTCCAGCACCCTTAACCACCACACTGCCTGATGACCCCTTTATTTTCTTTTTCTTTAAGAATTATTTTATTGAACATTTTTCCATAAACTTTTTGTTCTTGCTGGAGGGGTTGTGCACTCACGAGGGGCCACGGTCATGCCACAGTTCCTTCTCCACTTCTCCGTCCTGTCGGGATTGGAGACATAGACACACGTGCGCATCTGGTGTGTTTTTCAAGCCACTGGGGCTGCGGTCACCGTGTGGGACCTAACTCCCTTGACAAGTAGGGCATGCGCCTGGCCCTTCGTGAACATTTGAAGGCCTCTTATATACTTTGTTTGTTTGCTATAGGGCATATGTGCTCACCAAAGAGAAATCACACACCCACACCTCCCATGGTGGATGGCCATGCCACAGTCCCCTCTCTTCCATTCTCCTCTCAGGATTTTAGGCACACATGTATGCACACCTGGAGTGGTTTTCAAACCACCAGGTCCAGGACTTGGACCATGTAGTCAGCTATGTGGGATCCAACCGCCTTAACTTCCATATGACCTTCTGGCCCTGAGACGGCTTAGATACTTTCATTTGAGATTCAGTTCTGACTCGTTCATAGAAGTAGCTCAGGGATGAACCTGTGTGTCATCCAATTCTCTGTTCCATTTGGAGGGCATCACTGCTAAAGCCTGCTTCTGCTACCATCATGGTTGTTAGCATGGTTAGATGGACATGGATAGGCTCCTCGGTTTCAAGTTTAAAAGCCACAAACACCACCTCAGTCCACCTCCCTATTTACCATATGCTTGCATTCTCTCTGGAACACATCCATCAAGAGGCCACCCAGGGGCCAGCTCGGCGGCACAGCAGCTAAACCTCGGCATAGGGGGCTGGATCCCAGGTGCTACCATGGTTTCACTCCCAGCTCGGGGTCGCCTGAAAACATGCTGGGCCCATGTGTGTGCGTGCCCCAAGTCCCAATAGGGTGGACGAAAAAGATTAGAATGTGACTGCCCTCCATCAGTGGGTGCTTTCTCTCTTTCCTTTCTTATGTCATGGTAACCCACATGCCCTCTGGCAATCACAGCAAAAAAGAAAGTTAAACAGGTCATCGGCTGGGACTGAAGTTAGGAGCCACTCACCATTAGCTGCAGCCAGGTCACAGCACCTTCTGGGGGACCCCCTTGGTCTCGGACCTGCTTTGTACTCAGCAGTACCGTGTCCCACTGTTGTTCCCCTCGTTCCTCCAAGCTTTTCTTTCTTCTTCTTTTTTTTTTAAAGGATTTTGCCGTAGCACGTATGCTCCCCAGAGAGAGCCAGAGAGAGGGACAGGGAGAAAGCACTCCCAGGGGGTGGCCGTGACACAATCTCTTCTCCTCTGTTCGCCTCCTGAGATTTGGGGCATGCATGCACACGTGCCCAGTGTGATTTTCAACCTGCCAGGTCTGAGGCTTGAACAGCAGACAGTCATGTGGGGAATCCAGCACTTTAACCACCACTCCACCTGCCAGCCCATTTGTTTGTTGTTGATGTTGTTATTTGTTTTTTTGTTTTTTTAAGAGAATTATTTATTTAATTTTATTCATTTTTGTTAATTTGACCCAAGAGAGGGGAAATAAGAAAGCAAGCCACCAGGTCCGGGACTCACACTGTGGTCAGCCATACACCATGTCACCTGCTGGCCCCACCCCTGTATTTGGTTTCAAGAATGACGTTGAGCATGGTATTTCTTGTACAAGTGCTTTCATAAGAGCACAATTTTAGAATGGAATTAACTCCACTTCTCTTGCTTGTGTCTGTCCTTTTAGTCCAGTTGAATTATGTCATGGTAACTGGTTTTGTCTTGGTAAATTCAACCTGTGTCTTACTTTGTTACTTTGTTAGATACTTACTAAATCTCACAACTCTTTTATCATTTAAAGTTTTGCTCTTCAGAAGTCATTGAATGACTCAAATGTGCAGCCTGGAGACAGCCGCATCACAGATCATGGATGTTTTTCTTTTTTTTTTTTTTTTTTTTTTTGTTTCACTTCTTAGAGGAAGGAAAAGTGAAAAATCACCTCCCAAAGGGGTGGCCTGGCACAATCCCTTCTTCTCCTGGGATTTTGGGCACACACACCCTTCTAGGTATCACTTATAATTTTTGTCTCCATGTTATTCTTCCGAAGAACCAAGTTTACAAGCTTTGTATCTTTTTTTTTTTTTTTTTTTTTTTTTTGGAGAGATTTTTGCTATAGGGTGCATGCATTCACCAGAAAGACAGAGAGAGAGAGAGAAAGTGAGAATTCACCCCCCAGGGGGGATGACCACACCGCAATCCCTTCTCCTCCATTCTCCTCTCAGGATCTTGGGCACGCACGCACACGCGCTCGATGCGAGTTTAAACCGCCATTCCAGGACTTGAACTGCATTCGACTACATGGGAGTCCAGCGACATAGCCATTAGGCCATCTGCTGGTCCCTTTGTATCTTTTTTAACCTTCTTTATTATGTTTCTTTTGTCTTCAAATTTGGATTGCTTGGGAACCAGCAGTTAGCATAATGGCTATGTCACTGGACTCCCACATAGTCGACCACAGTTCATGTCCCGGACCCGGTGGCTTAGAACTCACGCCGGGCACGTGTGCGTATGTGCCCCCAAGATCAAAAAAAAAAAAATTGGGGGATTGCTTGTATCTTACCAGACTCTTGTACTATCTTTCCTTCTATAATTTCTCTAGTCTTTTTAGGGACTCTTCATCTTTTCTATTTTTTAAGTTTGTTTTAGAGTTATTTTATTTAACTAACTAACTTTCTCTCTTTCTTCCTTTCTTTCTTTCTCTCTTTCTTTCTTTCCTTATTTATTTTAATTTGCCCAGAGAGAGACAGATTGAGAGAGAAAGTGAGAAAGCAAGCTGCCCAGTCCAGGACTCAAACTGTCGTCAACCATGTGGGAGTGTCCAGCACCTTAGCCACCATGCCACCTGCTGGTCCCAGGGACTCTTAGAAGCAACTTTCTCTCATTTGGGAGAAATAAGGAAATGAAAGGCCAGAATTTAGGAGCCAGTCCGTGATGTAACCGCCAGATGTGAGGCTCTGAAGCAATCGCACATGCAGAGGGGTCCGCTTGAGTCTGAAGACCCCGAGTGCATGGACACGTGGGTGCCCATGATCCCCAGCTGGCCGAGGGTGAGGACAGATCGCAGCACCAAGACTCTGTAGGGGGTGCTGTCTCTTTCTCTCTTTTTCTCACTCATGGAAAAAATAAATAAGGAGGAAGAAAAATAGGCCAGAATCTGAGAAGGGATTCTTCAGGATTCTCATCTGCTCCTAGAATGGAGGTAGCCACTCCGCATACTTACCACAGGACAGGTGGGCATGTTCTCTTGTTAGCTGAATACCCTCCCCAGAAGCCTTCACAGGGAAGAACTTCTATTCTCTGCTGGGGCATAAACCGGCTGTTTTCCAACTCACAGCAGCTTTGAATTAAGGGGATGCTGCTGACTTGGAAATTCTCATCACCTAGTGTTTTTTTGTTGTTACTGGTGGTTACATCGTGAAATGACTAGAACAACTAGTCAGTCACGATTCATTTAGACAGAAAGAACCGTATGGAAATTTCTTTAATCTTGGGGCTGGCAGGTGGCATGGTGGTTAAGATGCTGGATTCCCACATGGCAGATCATGGGTCAAGTCCCAGACCTGGCAGCTTACTTCTCTCTCTCTCTCTCTTTCTTTCTGTGTGTGTGTGTGTTTCTGTCTCCCTCTGGTCAAATTCAAGAAGAATAGTAAAATTAAATGAATAATACTCAAATTTTTTACTCTTATAAAGGTTATAATTTATATATCTGTAATAAAAGTAGTTCTCAAAGCCAGTGGGTGGCATGTGGGTTGGGGTGCTAAACTACCACATGGCCAACCACAGTTCGAGTCCTGAACCTGGCAGCTTGCTTTCTCTGTCTCCCATGAGTGCATATGCTCTATAGCAAATTTTAAAAACTAACAACAATAATAAATAAAATGAAATCATTCATTTTCTTAAAAAGTAATTCTCTAAAATAAACATCTACCCTTTGCTTCACAGATCTTAAGTCTCCTAACAGAAAAAGAAGTGAATATTGTTTTGCCAACGCATTCCATTGTTCCAAGAACTTTCGTGCTTAAGCCAGGGATGGTCCTATTTTTGGGGGCTATAGGCCGCATAGATTTCCTCCAGGTAAGAAAAGTCTGCAACATTCACAACTGACTGAGCGTTAAGATTTACTTTAAGGAGACAGGTAGATGACGAGAATGGCAAAAATGTTGGGAACTGAGTTATGACTGTGGGGGGGTTTGATAGACTTTTTTTTAATGTTTGAAAATTCTCATAATAAAAACTTAGGAAAAGGGGGGGATGACATTAGGTCCTTAGAAACTCTATCTTTAGGACCAGCGGATTGTGTGAAATTTATGTTGCTGGACTACCACACAGCTGACCGTGGTTCAGGTCCCGGACCCGGGAGCTTAAAACTCAGGCCTGTCGCATGTGTATGTGTGCCCAAGATCCCAGGAGGAGAGGAGGAGAAGGGACTGTGGTGTGGCCTTCCCACCTGGGGGGGCGATTTCTCGCTTTCTGTCCCTCTGCCCTCTCTATCGCTCTTGAAAGTGCACATGCTCTATAGCAAATATCTCTCCAAATATAAAAAAGAAAAGGAAAGGAAAACTCCATCTTCAATGAGATGTTGAGTGCCCCACCCATGGAATTGAAGACAAGATACTATCCTTATCCTGCACTGTCGCTTCACATGGAACTCACGAGGTCACACCTTTACACTTAGGGTTAATATGCACTAAATTAATTCCGCATGTTATATGCCATGATCCACGGAGTTCTTCTTTTTTCTTTTGTTTTCTTTTTGCACTGTTTATAGAATTGCTCCTCCTCATTTTGCTCGAGTGAGGGAGTAAAAGGGAAGTGACGTGTCCAGTGTGTGCATTGGATGTACCCAATAATGCTGAATGCAACTCAAGAGCCCCTGCTGTAGTTTATTTCTTAGATTTTTATGTTTGTCATGGTTTAGCCTTGGAACCAGCAGATGGCGGAGTGGTTACGTTGCTGGACTCCCACATAGTCGATCGCGACTGAAGCCCCGAACCTAGTGGCTTAAAACTCATGCCACGCGTGTGTGCGCACATGCCCAAAATCCCAACAGGAGAATGGAGGGGACTATAGCATGGCCATCCCCCCTGGGGGGTGATTTCTTGCTTTTTATCTCTCCCTATAGCAAAAATCTCTCTTAAAAAAATAAAAAGAAGGAAGAAAGAAAGTAAGACAGACAGGAAAGAAACAAACAAAGGTAGAAAAAGAAAATTTAGGCTTATACAGTTAGACCCTTATTTATTTAATTAAAGTTCAGAGAATGTTACTATTTTAAGTCTAACTTTACATAAGGACCATTAAAGTCAATGGTACTCCCTTTTTGTTTCTAATAGTTGATGTATTATTATTTTTTGGTTTTGGGATTTTTTTTTTTTTACAGGTTTTGCCATAGACACATGCATTTTCCAGGGAGAGAGAGAGCCAAAGACAGAGGCAGAGAGAAAGCGAGAAACCCTCCCAGGCCATGGTATAGTCCCTACTCCTCTAGTCTCCTGAGATCTTGGGCATGCACACACAGACGCTTAGTACCGGATCCAGGATTTGAACCACGGTCGGCCATGCAGGAGTCCAGCAGCATAACCACTACGCCATCAGTTGGCCCCACTGTATTGTTATTGTTTTAATAGCATTAACAAGCCTATAGTCAGAGTTTTATGTGAATTGTTAAAATGTACTGCTTCCATATCATGCCCTAGTTTTCAGTGGCCCAGCCACAGTAGTGCACATTGGTTAACGCTGCTTTTTAGCAGGCTGAGGCCACAAGGGAAGCCCGAGTTCACTCCCGTGCCCACCCGAAAAGCCATCCACTGTGGCGCAAGCCTATAGTCCCAGCCCTGCAGGAGGCCGAGGCGGCAGGATCACCACGTAGCGAGGGCCCGTCTTGAGTGTGTGGGGGAGACCCTGTCCCTTAATTACAGCTGCCGTCCCACCAGTTCCGGTTCGCAGCCATGGATTACACCTTATCTTGAGTGTGTGGTAGAGTTCATCGTGTCAGTAACTTCTTCCTTTCCTCAGGGGGATCAGTCGGCCTGGTTTACGGTCGTGGCTTCCAACGCGCTCCCCGTGCACGTTACCTCCTTGGACAGGGCGGATGCTGTGTATCAGAAGCACGCGGGACACACATTACTCCAGGTACGACCTCATAGCGCCACGCCCGCACGGCTACGGCTAACACACGCTGACGGCCCGAGGCTCTCTGAAGAACGCCTCCGTTGGGGGGCCAGCAGTGTTTAAGGTGCTAGACCCCTATATGGCCGACCACCGTTCAAGACCCGGGCCCAGCAGCTTAAAAATCACGCCGGGCACGTGTGCATGTGTGCCTAAAATCCCGAGAGGAGAATAGGGGAGAAGGGATTGCAGCATGGCCATCCCTGGGGAGTGATTTCTCGCCTTCCGTCTCTCTGTCTCTTCTGCGAGCACATGCACTCTATAGCAAAGATCTCTCTCTCTAAAACAAACAGACAAGAGTAGTAAAAAGTAACTGAGATCTTCAAAAGAAAATTTTAATATCCCAGACACTAAAATTTGCAGGCGGGGTAAGCGCACAAACGCAACCAGCAGTATGGGCTCTGTCCAGTTTCCTGCAGTAAAAGTTCTCCTACTTGTATTCGTTCACTTTTTAGATGAAAAAGTAGCACACACATTAAAAGACAACTTGAGGCTTACAGGAAAGACAACCTCTTTTTCTTTTTACTTTATTTATTTATTTATTTATTTATTTATTTTATTTATTCATTCATTTATTTTAATTTGACCAGAGAGAGAGAGAGTGAGAAAGCGAGCTACCAGCTCTGGTACTCGAACTGTGGTCGGCCATGTGGGAGTGTCCAGCACCTTAACCACTATGCCACCTGCTGGTCCCCTGTTTTGTTTTGTTTTTTTTCTAGAGAGAGATTCTTGCTATAGGGCACATGTGCTTGCCAATGAGATAGAAACAGACAGAAAGTGAGAAATCACCCCTATAGGGGTGGCCATGCCACAATCCCTTCTCCTCTATTCTTCTCTCGGGATTTTTTGGGCATGCACAGGTGTCCAGCATGAGTTTCAAGCTGTTGGGTCTGCGAGTCAAACCATGGTTGGCCATGTGGGAGTCCAAAGCCTTAACCACACCACCTACAACTCCATTGTTATTCTTTGCGTATTCTGATTTCTCTCCTTTTCTAATCCTGTGGCAGTTCCACATCACTGAGGAAGTCCAGACTGCTGACAGCCTCATCACTAACACACACACACAACCACACTCTGGACGATGAAAGTCCTTTTTCCAGTTATTTTGGTTTTTGGTTTTGGGGTTTTTTTAAGAATTTTTAAAAATTATTTATTGAACTTTATTTATTTATTTAAATTTGATCAGATAGGGACAGAGTGAGAAAGAAAGTGAGAAAGCAAGCCGCCAGGTCCAAGACTCGAACCATGGTTGGCCATATGGGAGTCCAGCACCCTTAACCACCACACCACCTCCCAGCCCCTCCAGGTTTTGTTTGTACAATATTTTTCTTTTTCTTTTTTTCTGGAGAGGTTTTTGCTATAGGGCGCATGCACTCGCCATACAGACAGAGAGAGACAGAGAGACAGAAAGCAGGAAATCACCCCCCAGGGGGGATGGCCATGCCGCAATCCCTTCTCCTCCATTCTCCTCTCGGGATCTTGGGCACACACGCACACGCTCCTGGCGTGAGTTTAAGCCACCAGGTCCGGGACTCAAACCGCGGTTGACTATGTGGGAGTCCAGCGACATAGCCATTTCGCTAACTGCTGGTTCCTGTACAATATTTTTCTACTGAGTAACTTCACACCATTTCCCAAAATACTACTCATATGTATGCTGCTTTTTTTTTTTTTTAAGTTAATTTATTTCTTCCCTGAGCAAGACCCACAAGTCCTTCCAGTAGTTCTCCAGTTCTCCAAGCCATATTCCACCCTTAGCGTTGGCCAGGCCGGATTGCGGACACTGGCACACACACACACACACACACACACACACCCCTCCCCCCGTGTACTCAGAGGTCTCACACATGTGCCTTCCCCGCGGGTCTGTCACAGACTGCTGCATCCCCTGCACCGCCACCCAGCCCTGGGGAGCAGCTCCGCTCACGTTTCCCCGACTGAAACGCTCACCCCTCCTTCCTGCACGGCCATGGTGTTTTATGGAGGCCTCCTCACGTTCCTCACCTCGTATTTGTGTACATCTTATTTATTCCTCGTGATCTCCCTGGGGGCAGGGACCATACTGTAATATCTGTCTTCGTGTCTCTAGTGCCAAACACAAGAGAGATTAATAAATAGATCAATATTTTGCTGTTACTTTTTTTTAAAGAATTATTTTATTTAACTTTTATCTATCTATTTCTTTAAATTTGACCACATAGAGGCAAAATGAGTGAGAGAAAGAGGGTGAGAGAGCAAACCACCAGGTCCGGGACTCCAACCATAGTCGACCACGTGGGAGCCCAGTGCCCTTTAACCACCATGCCACCTGCCGGCCCCTGTAGTTACTTTTTAAAATTATTTTACTATAGACTGTCTACACTCACTGGCCAGGGGCAAAGAGAGGAAAGTGGGAAATCACCCCCTGGGGGGATGGCCACACCACAGTCCCTTCTCTGCTCTCCTCTTAGAATTTTGAGCACACATGCACATGCACCCGGCATGATATTCAAGCTGCAGAATCCAGGACTTGAACCACACAGTCAGCTGTGTGAGATCCAGCCACCTTAGCCTCCACACCACCTGCTGGCCCTCGGTGACTTCTGGTTCATGAAGACATCTGCCTCCATCAGCGGTTTACTTGGTGTTGGAGTTGCGGAGGTTGAATCTGCACTTCCACACATCTGCATCTCATCTCTCTGGAAGGTTCCAACGGGTGGAGAAGAGCGAATGGCAGGATTTCCCCCTCTGGTTGCTGAAGACATTAAACTAAAGGAAGGCCTTGGGGACTCCGAAGCCGTGGCCGACATCAAGTTCTCCTCTGCAGGTACTGTAAACTGCACCAGCGCACTTTAAAAAGCAAACGAAGCAGCCCCGCTGACAACAGTGTGTTTACAGAGATGTGCTGGGTGACATGAGCCGATTATGGTGAGACTTAGGTACTCTGTTCCCAGCCTTCCTGGAGATAAGTTGGTACTTTCCCCAGGTGCATTGTATCGTGCTTTTAAAAAGGTAAACTGAGTGAAGGAGGGCAGGAGCTTCGTGTGGTGTTCATTTTGGGTGGGGTGTGGTGTCTCCACAACGAAGGCTAACAGCATTATGTGCTCTGTCACACGCCTGCGTAGGTTGGGTTGCGGTAACACCTCGTTTCAAGGACAGACTGCGGCTCCGAGGCTACACACCTCAGGGAACAGTGCTGACGGTCCGGCCCCCGCTCTTGCCACACATCGTTAACGTCAAAGGAGAGCGCATCAGGGGAAGCGTGGCCTATAAACCCAAGAAGCCTCCTTCCCTCGTGTACAACCTGCGGAAGAAGAAACAGGCAAACGTGGCTACGTGACTGGATGTTACCTGTATCGGACATAACGATACACACTGAAACTGTATTAAATATAGTAAAGTTCCCCACTCGCCCTTTTTAAAGACATTAACAATTGGTCTCCTTAAACTGTTCAGGGGCTCCATAGCAGAGTCCCAGAGCCAGATCCCACATGGCCAGTCACAGTTCAAATCCTGGCCTGACTGTTTCTTTTCTTCTCTCTTTTTTGGAGAGGCTTTTGCTAGCTATAGGGCACGTGTGCACACCAGAAAGACATAGAGAGACAGAAAGCAAGAAATCACCCCCCAGGGGGGATGGCCATGCCGCAATCCCTTTTCCATTTTCTTCTCAGGATCTTGGGCACACATGCACATACACGCAGCATAAGTTTAAGCCACCAGGTCCAGGACTCGAACCCCAGTCGACTACATGGGAGTCCAGCGACATAGCCATTACACCAACTGCTGGTCCCCAAAAACCTCTTAAAAAGAAAAAAAAATAATTTTATTTATTATTATTATTTTAATCAGAGAGAGAGACAATAAAAAAGCAAGCCACCAGACCTGTGACTCAAACTGCAGTTGGCCATGTGGGAATCTGAAGCCCCTGCTGGTTCCCAGAGCCATGAACTTCTTGTAATCCCGTGTTTTCTACCAATTGTTGGGAGCTCTTGGATATGTCACACACACTCTCCTACCTCCTTCCCATTCCCAACCCCCTTCCCACTAAGTCGTCAGACCAAATTCCAGTGGAAAACTTGCTTTAAGAAATATACACCAGGTTTGGGACCAGCAGGTGGCGTGGTGGATAAGGTGCTGAACACTCCCACATGGCCGACTGTTGTTCAAGTACTGGGCCTGGTGGCTTACCTTCTCACTTTCTCTGTGTGTGTGTATCTCTGGTAAAGTTAAAATGAATAAATAAAATTAAATAATTTTTTAAAAAAAAAGAATTATGTTCAAAAGAAATATACACCAGGTCGGGACCAGCGGTTAACATGATGGCTATGATGCTGGACTCCCATGTAGTCGACCACGGTTTCAGTTCCAGACCCGGCGGCTTAAACTCACGTCAGGTGCATGTGTGTGCGTGCCCAAGATCCCGAGAGGAGAATGGAGGAGAAGGAATTGTGGCATGGCCATCCCCCCTGGGGGGTGATTTCTCGCTTTCTGTCTCTCTATCTCTTACTGGCGAGCACACGCGCCCTATTACAAAAACCTCTCCAAAAAAAGAAAAGGAAAAAAATACATATATATATATATATATATATACACACACACACACACACACACATACATACACCAGGTCACTCTCATTCTCTCACAGTGTTTCAAAGTAAGCACTCTCGGTATTTGGGAAGGGTGCTGCTCACTGAATGCACTTTGGTTATGCCTGGCATCCCTCCACCCCGGATGCTTAGCGCCTGTACGCATCCCCGCTGCCCCTTTGGTCTCTGTGAGGACCTCACAGTACGAACATTTCCAAGGGAACGATGGCTCTCCAAATTGAGAGAATCCGCTGGCAGTTGACATCCGTTTTCTATTTTGGATAGAATGAAAAACAATTCATTTTCCAGACTAAGGTTGTGAGCCTTGGGACCAGCCAAAAAAAAGAAAGAATTATTTCATTTTTAAATTTGATCTCCAGGCTCCAGGGTTAACATATACTATTCTAAGCCGACGCAGCCCAGGGTCACCGCTGGACCTTCACATGCTCCCCACAGGCCTTTACGCTCTCTCGAGTTTGCTGTGACTGTTTGGGTTCTGAACTTTAATCCGTTTACTGAGCTTCATCCGTCAGTCTGGGTATGAGGCTTCTCTGGACCGGGGAACAGTCACACCATGACAGGGTGCGGGAGTCGGGCTCTGCGGGGAAAGGAGAAGTTAATGGAGAAGGATCCAGACAACCCCTCCCTTCCACAGAACAGAGGTGGTTTTGAGTAAGAGGAAACAAGCAGTTACACTAGATTGATCATGTGGCCCTGCAGCCTTGTAGAAAGCATGTCACCTTTGTATGCATGACACCCACAAGAAACTATGTGCCAGCAAAGGCTGTTTTGTTACAGCGTATGTGCACTTGCCAGGGGGGTGGGGGGGAACAGAAAGTAAGACATCACCCCACTAGGGAGGAGGGCCACACTGAAATCCCTTCTCCATTCTCTTCTCAAGATTTTGGGCATGCACACACATGGACCCAGCGTGTTTTCAAGCCACTGGGTCAAGGACGAACCATGCAGTTGGCCATGTGGGATTCAACCACTTCAACCTCCACACCACCTGCTGGCCCACAAAAGACTTTTTGACTCCTATGAGACGTTACATTTTTAAAGTTTTTTTTTTTTTTTTTAAAGAATTATTTTAGGGGCCAGAAGTTGGAATAGTAGTTAAAGGCACTGGACTCCCCACATGGCCGACTGCGATTCAAGTCGCGGACCTGGCAGCTTGTTTTCTCACTTTTCCTTTCTCTCTCCCTGTCTCTATCTGGTCAAATTAAAATATAATAACAAATGAAATTAAATAAATGAATAAGTAATTATTTTTTTAACTTTATTTTAATTTGACCAAGGAAGGACAGAGAGAGAAAGGGAGAAGGAAAGCCCCCAGGTCTGGGACTCAAACCACAGTCGACCATGTGGGAGCCCAGTGCCCTTAATCACCATGCCACCCACCAGCCCAAAGTTTTACTTTTTCTTTTTAAAGGAATTACTTTATTGGGGCTGGCAGGTGCCATTGCTGGTTAAGGGTGCTGGGCT